CAGCCACTGGCGCGCCCACGGACACACCAGCGCCTCTAGTTCAGCCGCCCGCTCACGCCCCCGGAACGCGACTTTGCCGAACACCGCCGCAAGCACCTGTCTGCTCTCCCCTGGGTATTTCACCAGCTGCAATCGCCGTAGCCGTCGCGCGCGAAGCTCAACGTGAAACGCAGCCGCTTGCACCTTCGCGCCTTGCCCTCTTGGGTCCACGCCGCGCCCGTCAGCGACGCTCGCGCGGCGCGAAGCCCTCCAGCGCGTCCAAGCCGCCGTTCTCGAGAGGCCATTTGGCTTCGCCAATGTTTCGAGGCCTGTCAACTCGCGATCACCACGTATCCCACGATGAAAACCGTCTTTCATTTGGACGGCGCGTCCGGCGCCCAGAAGCTGCCCAGCTGGCCCCACGCCCCCTTCCCAGCAATTTGTCAATCTCGTGTTTCAGCGCGAACCGCGCCGAACACCTCAAGCAGAAATATCTCGCCTCCGCCACCGCCCCCCCCCCCCCTGCGATAGCTGCTGGCCGCGCAAGACCCGCTCCGCTAAGTGCGCGCCCCTCCCCGCGCAGAACAACGGCGCCTTCTGCTTGTCCACGTTCCGGGCCATCGACATGTGCGCCAGCGCGCCGCTCGCGTAACCATCCTGCTGCCCCCCGGCCTCCGCCGCCTCGGTCACCGACGCGAAAGGAAATGCGCCCGCCGCGTCGTCCGCGGACAGCGCCATGGCCAACTGCGTCGCGCCTGCGTTATCAAGCGGGGACTCGCCAACCGACCACTCCACCACGTGCTTCTCCAGCGCCGCCATGCCCTGCGCGTGCGCCATCGCGAACAGCCGCGCCGTCGCAAGGACTCCAGGCACGTGGCCCTCGCCCACGCACCGTGCCAGGGACTCGGGGGGGCATCGGATTGGAAGCGCGCGCAATCCAACCTCGGCAGCATCAGCGGGGCGCCCTGCCCCCCCAGCGCCCTGACCGCCGCCCTCATCAGCGTCGCTTTGCTCATCGAGAAGAAGGCGTTGGCAGCGTCGCGAAATCGACGCACGTGCTGTAGCCCAGGCGCCCTCCAGGCCGTCGCCATCTGCGTCGCGATCGCCCCTTCGCGTCGTCGCCGCCGCAACCCTCCGCGCGCCCAGGCCGGGGCCTTGGCCAGCGGGGCCCGCTGCGCCGCCCCGCCGCAGTAGCGCTTCGCCAGCGCGCACGCCAGCATCGCGATCCGCGCCCTTCCCGACGCGCGCCCCCTTCGCCATCGCCCACTCGCCGGGGAGAGCCAGCCTCGACCTGATCTCGCTCAACAGCACTCGCATCACCTGGTAGAGCTTGGGCGTGGCCAGCTGCTCCACCTCGCCGCCCACCCCCGCGCCCCCTCTCCTCTGCGCGACGCTCTCGCTCACTCGCGTCGGAAAGAACGCGCGCCTCATCCGCTCGACTGGCGCGCCCCGGCTCGCCACCGTTCGCCCAGGCCCCAATCTCCACAGCGCGCTTCTTACCATCTCGTGCGCCACCGCGCGCGCCCAGGCTCGCTTCGCCCCCGGGTGTCTCTGAGCCCCCTCATGCGCAGCCTCCTGTGCTGAGCGACCGCCCTCGGGGCCTCGACCTCGCGCGCGCCCCGCCCCATTCTGCCCCCGCCCCCTCGACGCGATCATGTCCAACACTCCTTTTTTTTTCCGCGCGCCTCGGTGGCGATGTGGCAGGAGACGACGCATGCTGTGCATCGCGGCGCTGTCCTTCCGCTCCACCGCGCTTTGCACTCCGTCGCGCGACCCTCCTCCAACTGCTTCGCGCGCGACCTTTCCTCTCGCGCGACCACCTGCTGACCCGCCGCAGCTCGACCGTGAACTCCAGCTCCTTCAAGTACACGTTGTTTTCGCCCTCCGCCTGTTCGTCGCCCTCGGCGCACAACGGCAACTGGCGCCGCCCCTTGACCCCCCCCCCCCCCGCTATTTCAGCAACTCCGCGACCTTCGCGCTCTGCGCAATGTGGCCCTCCGTGCGCAACGGCGACTCCGCGCAAATATTCTGCCCCAAATGCTGCAGGGCCCCCATGGCCCCCCCGTTCGCCGCGCCCCCCCCCCCCCCCTACCTCCTCAGCCTGCGTCGCCTGCTCGTAGACCACCTCCATCTCGGCCTCCGACGCCTCCACGAACCCCCTCTTCCCCCAGCCCCTCAGCAATAGCATCGACAGCGCCTCGCCATTCGGGGCATCTGGCTTGTCGCTGTGGACGCACGGTTCCGACGCGCACCCCGCGGCAGTCTCGCGCGCCAGCGGCGCATGATCCCGCGGCGTCTTCTGCGAGTGAGCCTGCAGCCGCCAAGCAAAACACGACACCATCGCACATCGGGCCCCCAGCTCTCAGGGATGACAGTGCAATTGAGAATCTTCCCACGCCATTGGGATAATACGTCGCTCCTGATGACCGCCGCGCATTGAGCACGGTGAGCCCATGCGCCGCAAACAGCTCGTACAGCATCGTCGTCGCCGCATTCATCGTTCCGCGCCGCGCGGGCCCAAAGTGCACCCTTCCGACTCGAACTGGCCATTCGAGCACATCGCGAGTACCGGCGGCCACCTCGCCGAGAGTGACCCCGGCGCCGCCGCCAGCCATCTGCCAATGCTCTGGATCATCGCCTCGCACTGCGACCTCGGGGCTCGATCACGCGGCTGAGGTGCGAGGTGCACCAAGACCGGCGCGATCCTCATCGACGCTCGCTGCAACTTTAATCCGCCCACGCGCCCCTGGAGCTGCTTCGTGACAGGCAAGAAACCCTTGCAGTTCTTCACGCCGACCAGCCTCTTCTGCATCCACAACGTCAGGCCGCGCGACTTTTCTATCATGGTTCCACGTCGCCATCCCAATCTACGCTCCAGCGTCGCCTCGTAGACCTGCTCGCGTTCAGCATCTCGCCCGACGAGCGCTGCTGCGCGCCGATCAGCCCGATGGGAGGCCCAACTTCTGCAACTCCTCTGCGACGCCACGTCTGTATTCCACATTCGCGGAGTTCGGGTTGCACGTCGCTATGCTGAAGCCGCTGTGGGCCGCCCGCGTCTTGTCCCACTGGGGCGCCATGGCTGCGGCCACAAGTGGTCTGCCTATCGGAAGTGGGCGGTCAGGGGAGAGCGCCGCGCGCGCGCCACCCCCCCTCCATCATCATTCGAAAAGATGTCCACTTCCTCCGTGTCCTCCTCCTGCTCGCCCTCCTCCTCCTCCTCCTTTCCCTCCTCCGTGGCCATTTTGGTTCAAGCACAGGGGCGCGGAACGCAGTGTAACCATTGTTTGGCTCAACTTGGCGCTGAGCCCCCCCTAGTGCTTGAGGGGCACCGCTTGATTGCGACACAACAGTTGTTACATTCGTGCGGTTGGCTAGTACAACGGTAAATTTTCGGTCGACGAATTTTGCAAGATTGGTGTTCCGGGTTCTTCCTGAACATCAATTTCAACGCCCGTCCCAGGCCGAGGGTTGGGTTGGAGGCACGCGGGCTTCGAGCCCATCTGAGCCCTTCACCACTCGGCCTGGGCGTACCTCTTCGGCTACGTGAAGATCCGTCCCAGGCAGTGGGGTGGGCTGGAGGCACGGGGGCTGCGAGCCCATCTAAGTCCTTCACCCCTCGGCCCGGGCGTACTATCTTTTTGTTGCAGGGTCTGGAGCTCATGCTGTTGGAGGTGCTACCTTGCTGGTGACCAGTGGCGAGGCAGTGTGTGAATGAAGCGACCTCTCGCGAGGTAGCCTGGTGATCTACGGTAGGGCCTCATAGAGCCGACCCCATTTCAGCTTAGGCGCTGGTCTTTTCAGTTTGGCTGTTGTCTCTGGTGGTTTGCTTCAAAACATAATTTGTTGTATCCTCAGTTTGGCGGCAGCGTTCCATTTGTATGTGTTGGGATCCTGTGTGAAAGCTCTGGTGAAGGTGATTTCTTTTCAATTCACTTCAATTGCGTTCATCCTCCTCTACATCTCCCACCAGTGCCAGTTGTACACGGCTCCTTCGTCATCTGAACGGAGACGGTCTTAATCACTTATGACTTTGTCATTTGACCATTCCCATTCCCATTCCCATTCTTCCTCCTCCTCTGGGGGACCAATCCGCGGGCGGCGAGCCTTGAAGTTCCCCCTTGCCCACCGCGCGAACCGCTGGACCCCAGCCCTTCCCTGGGGCTGAGTCTTCGTCGCGGGCCGTTCCTCTGGCCACACGGCCGCGGAGCCCCAGGGGGGCAAGACCGAAGACTGCCAACAGCCGGCCGCTCCGATGCGATAATGGCGCGAGGGGGCCTTGTGAGGGTGGAGGAAGGAGAATGATAATTTACACACTTATAACGCCTAGTCATACAACCAACAATAGCAACATTGAGGCAATAATCATATGATATGTAAGTATGGGAACCTACTAATAGCAGGTTGATGGAAATAGCATTGGCAAAATGAATACCAATGATACAAGTGGTAGCATAACTAATATTAAGCATACCGAAGCTACAATTAATTCGAAATATGCTAATCACACGCATACTGCGAATGAGAGTAGCAACACAGTAATAAAACAAGAAACGATACTAGCAATCCAGACAACAATGCTAATAACAAGACTACAAGTTAGCATAGCAGGAATAAGAGAAATAATACGAATACGATGAAGACGAAACATATAATAACAAAGAAGACGAAGCGACTGCACAAGCATCAACTTTCGGAGGTGTACGCGGATCTCTTGGATCGGCGTCGGGCCCCGCTCCCTGGCACGCGAAATGCGTCAGGGGGCGGCGCCGAAGGCTCCGCCAAGAGTGCCCAACGACGATCCACGAAATCCGCGTGGACATTGCGAAATTGTATGTGCAGGCAGCGCCTCCCGTGAGAGGGAGGCGGGAGGCGGCGGAGGAGGAGGAGGAGGAGGAGGAGGAGGAGGGAAAGGAGGAGGAGTGGGAAGAGGTGGAGGAGGAGGAGGAGGAGGAGGAGGAGGAGGAGCAGGAGGAGGAGGGGGGGAGGAGGGGGCGCAGCGGGCCGAGAGAGCGGGCGCGCACCGCACAGCCACACCGCCAGCGTGAGCACCGCCGTGAGGACGGAGGGGCGGAAGTCCTGACCGCGGGGCCCCTCTGGAGGCCACACCCCGAGAGGTGGGAGGAGGGGAGGCGGGGTGGGGAGAGCGCGGGGGAGAGAGGGGGGGGGGGGTTTGCGGGGCGGGAGGAGGGGGGGGGGGGGTGGGGAGAGCGCGGGGGGGCAGAGGAGGGGGGGGGGGGGGGGGGGAGCGGGGGGGGGGCAGAGGAGGGGAGGCGGGGTGGGGATTGCGCGGGTGGAGTGGACGGCCGTCCGTTCGAGCCGACGGGGTGGAGCTCTCTCCAGTCAGGAGAGGACAAAAACACACAGACACAATGAATCCCCGATTCCCCAGAACATATGGGAAAATATGGGAAGTGGGGGGGTGGAGTGGACGGAGCTGGGGACACTGCCTGACATCGCGGCCACGCGCCCCGCCCCCTCATCAGGATCGTCGGGGTTGCGATGCTCAGGTGCTCGCTTGCTCCGCCCAGGTCCCAGCTCCCCCAATGCCTGCAGCACCTGCGCCAGAGGGGGGCCATCCTGCGCCCGGCAGCTGCCAGTGCCACTCCGCCAGGGTGGATGCTTCCCCCTCGTATCCTCCCCCTCCTCCTCCTCCCGCTCGCCCTCCTCCCCCTCCTCATCCTCCAACCTTGTCTCTTCTCGTGCTCCTCTTCCTTCTCCTAATGCTCTTCCTCCTCCTCCTCCTCCTCCTCCTCCTCCTCCTCGTCCTCGTTCTCGTCCTCCTCCTTCGTCCTCCTCCTCCTCCACGATCCCTCCTCCTGATGACACCTCTCCTCCTTCTCATCCATCTCCCTGTCGCCCGTGTCCACCTCAATCCCCTCCTCCCCCTGCTCCTGCACATCCTCCTTGTCTGTGTTCCCCTCCTCCTCCTTCCTCCGTGTTTTCCTCATCCTCCGCCTCGTCCCAGTGCTCCTCATGTTACCAGTTTGAAGCACATCCCTATCCCTATGTTCGGCATCACATGACCTTGGTACCGATCTGAGGGGTTCCCTCAATGTCTGAGGGCACATCCCTAAGATTGTCACCGCTGTTGGCATGCCGAGCTTACGGATGGGGATGGGCCCGAGCCTGGCGATCCTGTCTTTGTTCCTCACAATCCTCTCCTCTCTCACTCCTTGCCATCATCCGCTAACCGTGCCTCCGACGGGAGGCTCGTCGCCACGGCTGGGCAAGGCTCGGGAAAACGCGGGCCCTGAATGCTACCGAGGAGGGGCCCAGGATGGTCAGCAGATGGCTTTGACCACTAGCCTAAACCTACAGCTTACAAAACACTTTAAGAGCTTCTGACATTCCAAAGACCCCAAGGATCCCCGACCCGAGACCAAGCTTCGTGGGGGCGAGTTAATTGCGGTCCTCCTCACTCCTTCAGCACAAAACTACGAATATTTTCGACCCCACCTGGAGGGGGTGCTGTAAGTCGGCCTGCCGTGGAGGGCCCGAAGCTGGAACGCCCCAATCACCGCCCTCGCTCTGGACCGTGTAAAAAAAAACATCGGCCCAAACTTCTGGGTACAATCATGATGTCGCGGTCTGGGCTGCCAAGACACATGGACTCGCAGACTGGTTGCCGCAACTGCCGGTGTTGTCCCCCGAAGCGGCGAGTCCTCGCTACCTACTTCCATGTTGAACGTGGTCAGTCCCGGCGAGTGTGACCTGCGAGGGTCCCTGCATCCTTCTGCGCGACGATAGATGGCACAACCGCCTCCACTGTACCAAACATGTACGCAATGCAATGCGTTTCAGTCTGCCATCTCCCATGTCTTCCGGGTATACTTGCGATGAACGTGCAAGATATTGTTTGGTTAATGGTGCTTTAGGCATGTTCAGGAGGTCAACGGGTCTCAAGCATCCGAGGCTGTGGAGTTTAACAATCCCCTGCCCCAGAGCTCCTGCCTCTTCCAACGGGGGCCATTTACCGTTTCGGATCAATGTCTGATGACCCCCAGGACACCCTGAGGCCAAAACTGTGAAACGCTGGGATGGAAGAAAACTACCCTTCGGTGGCTTGGGGTTGCGGTCGAGTGAGAAAATTCGACTGTAGGCGTGCACGGCAAGCATGAAAAGGCCGCACCCGATGACTCCACCGCAGGCCGCGGCCAGAGCGTTCGCGACCCCGACACATCTCACCTTGGCTCGCAATGGACAGGACGACGACGACGACGACGACAACGACTGCGGCGGCGGGCGAGGATGGCCCGACCTATCTCACCCTGAACCGATCCACTTCGCTTTCGTTTGCTGACCAAGGCGGACTCATATGCTTGCACGCATCTCAGCCTACTCTGCAGCCCTTGCACAAGCCACCTTGACATAAATGCCAGAGGGGTGATGACAGAATATGCTCAGGTATCAACTCGGGCGGCGGCAGACTATATGATACAAAGGGCAAGCGCCTTGCCAGAATGGCTGACCGATTAGGTTTTCCCTGATCTAGAAACGCCTATCACGACGTAAAGGACATCGGGGAACATCGTAATAATTTGCTAGCCCATGTCTATCACCCCTCTCTCTCTGTTGTATTCCCCCGACGATCTATGCCTCTGAAGGCTCTCAACATTTCTACATATACTTCAAGTATCTCTCTCTCTCTCTTTCTCCCTCTCTCTCCGCTGGTTGTGATCTCTCTCTCTCTCTCTCTCTCTCTCCCTCTCCCTGTATGCAAAAACAGGTGTTCTGGTCTCTCTCTCTCTCTCTCTGTCCGTCTCTCTCTCCCTCTCTCTCTCTGCCGACTGTGACTAATCTCTCTACTATCTCGACGCTTCACCATCCTACTCTCTATCATTTACTCTTTTCTCTACCCAGGAAAACTTGATGTGTTGGCAGCGCGCAGAACAGCCTCTACGCAAGATTGGCTTCCAAAACGCCCTTCCTGAGACATCCGCGCTTCTGAAAAAGATCCCTACCTTCTCAGACGCCCACCCCCCGCCCTCTCAGAATGCGGGTCTCCTCGCGCCACCACCCGGTGCGCACCCCCCAACTTGATGTCCCCCAGAAAGAGCTACGACTTGTGACGGAAACAATGGTCGAGCGAAGAGTGGTCGCGCACAAGACGCACACAAGATGACTTGTGCAGGAAAACCAAGCAAGAAAACGCGAATCGACACCCAGAGCCCAACACAAGCACGCACAAGACAAGCCCGCACAAGACATCCCGCACAAGAACTCGCGCAAGACCTCTAGGACCACTCGCTCTGCTAACAATACTAGACTCTATTGCGGGTTCGTATCGTATCGACCCCGGCGTTGGTTCCTGACACCACGGGGATCGTTCAACCTTGACCGATGGGCCATTTCCGAAACGTCAGATCGTTCAACATCGACCGAATCTGGGCTGCCATCGGCATTCAACGTTGAACGCGGGCGGCAAGATCGCTCGAGGTCGGCACGACACGAACCTACCGTACCCCCCTTCCAAAGCTTAGATTAGCGATGCCCTTCAAGGGACGTGGTTGGCCTGTCGGGGACGTCGTTGAAGGCAGTTTCGCAGCTTCTCGGTAGCCGTTTTGGGACCGTTGTGGGGCCTCATCGGGGCTGTTTTGTGGCCTCTTTAGGCCTCGTTTGGGCCTCCTGGGTGCTTCTTGGGGGCCTCCTGGGGCTTCTTGGGGGCTCCTTGGGGCCTCCTGGGGCACTCTTCAAGCGGGAGGGTCGAATTTTGGAGTCGTGGTGGTCCCCGTCTTGGGCGCATCTTGGGGCCGTCTTGGGGCTCTGTTGGGCTGTCTTGGGCGACTCTGGGGCCGTCTTGGGGCCCTCTTGGGCCGTCTTGGGGCGCTCTTGGGGGCCTATTGAGCCGTCTTGGAACGTCGGACAGCCGAAAAAGCTGGAAGGCCAAAATCGTTCGAAAACCTTGTAAAGTTGACGATTTCGGCCTCTTGAAGCGCTCTGGAGAGGCGTCTTAAAGCGTCGTGGAATGCCTTGGGGGGCCTCTCGGGCTCTTGGGCCTATTTTGGGTGTCCCGGAGCGGTCTTTCGGCGTTTCGGGGCCCGCTTGGGCCGTCTTGGGAGCCTCTGGAGGCCCTCCTGGACTATTGTGGACCTCCCCGGCCGCCCCGTCCCCCCATGGGGGGTCGGAGGCGGCGGCCTCTGAGGCCCAGGACGCGGAAACCCAGTAAAAAACACATGGAAAATGAGCCCCGGTACGCCCGGGGCAGTTGTTTTCGAGCACCGGGCCTCCTGGGTGCCTCTTGGGGGTCTCCTGGGGCCTCTTGGGGCCCCTTTGGGGCCTCCCGGGGCCCTGTGGAGGCGGGGGGCTGAAATTTCCGGTTCGCAGTTCCCCTGTTGGGGCCCTCTTGGGGCCGTCTTGAGCCTCTCTTCGCCCGTCTTGGGCGTCTTGGGGCCCTCCAGAGCCGTCTTGAGGCTATCTTGGGGCCCCCTTGGGCTGTCTTGGGGCGTCCGCGGGGAGCCTGTGAGCCGTCGTGGAGCGTCGGAAAGCTGGAAAGGCGGGAAAGGCAAAATGTACCCAAAACCTTGTAAAATAAACGATTTTGGCCTCTTGGGGCCCTCTGGGGGGGCCTCTTGGAAGCCTCTTGGAGCGTCTTGGGGGCATCTTTGGCCGTCTTGGGCTTATCTTGGGCATCTTGGGGCCCTCTTGGCGCCCTCTTGGGCCTGTTGGAGCCTGCTGGGCCTGTCGTGGATCGTTCTTGGGGCACTCTTGGGCCGCCTGGGCTGCTCCAGGGAGGTTCCAGGCCCCCCCCGTCCCCCCATGCGGGGTCGGGGCACCTGTCCTGGGCCCCCCGGCCTCGCCCCCAGGCGTGTATATATATATATATATATATATACATGTATATATATATATATATATATATATATATATGTGTATATATATATAGTATGTGTATATATATATATATATGCGTGTTGGCCAATGTGGACCCCGAACAAAGTGCAAACGCGCGCGCGCAGCGGCCGGTTAGTTTGGCGCGGCCGACGCGGCCGCGGTGGCGTTGACCACTGGGCACTTCCCAGCGGGCGATTCACTGCGAGTCGGCGAGTTGGGTGGCCGCGGTATCATGGCAACGTCGACAACGGTAGACACGATGATGATAGTAGCGGTGATGGTGACGATGCTGATAACGACGAAAGCGCGGCCAGTGCGGGCGCCGATGTTGATCACGCCAACGACGATGACGGCGTCCTCGCTTCGGTGATGAAGGTTCCGAACAGAGTTCGACATGCGCGCGCGGCCGACGCGCAAGTGGCCCGCACGATTTTTTTGACACGAATCGTGCCCACCCAGCACGCGCGCAAGGGCGTGCGAATGATGTCGGCATGCGGCGCACATGAATCCTATTGGCAGAATTCCATGAACATGTTGGAACAAAAAACCAAACAGCTTTTTTTGATGAAAAAAGAATTCGCTCGAACGCGAACGCACGTTTTTGTTTTGAAAACCGATATTGCGAAACCGTGCATGTGTATGTTATTATGAACGGTCGGTTTTGAAATCGTTACGACACCGACGGCTTTTGACGGATTTCGGCATGCGCGCGCGACGACACGCGCGCGCACTTCGTCCAATGTTTTGCAAAGGGTTGTCGCGACGGCACGCGCGCAAGGGCATTCGAACGATTTCGCCATGCGCGCGCGAAGCCAAGTCGATATCATGTTCTGAAAATGATTAAAAACTATGGTTTCCTCAAGAATTCACAAGACGACGCACAAACTTTGCTTGCAAGTCCGTGTTGCGAAACGATGTGTTGTACGCGTTCTGGACATTCGATTTTGAAATCCTTACGAGACCGAAGGTTTTTGAGGGATTTCGGCATGCGCGCGCGACGACGCGCGCGTGCGCACTTCGTCCCATTTATTGCAAAGGATTATTGAAATCTACTGTTTTTGGATTAGCGAGTACGCGCGTATCTTTTACAGAAGGTGGCGGGGGGGGGGGGCGATACCGGCTCGGCTGGGATGGTACGAGCTCATATTTAGGATGGACGATGGGGCAGAACCATATGCAAATTAAACACGCGAAAAGGGATGGGATAATCCAGGGGGGGAGAGAGTCGATTCTCTATTAATCAAGTGAAATGCATGGTGTGCTACCCATGCGATGCAACACGTGTGGAGTAACATATGTGGTGCAATATAAGCGGCGCAACATGGTGGTGCCATATAGTTTGTGCAATAAATGTGGGGCAATCTACGGTGTGCCACCCATGCTGTGCAATCTAGGTGGTGGAATGCATGCGGTGCAATCTACGTACGTGATGCACTATATACGGTGCTGTCTACGTTGGGCAATTTAGGCGGCGACGACGACATAGCCGCAAGGGCGACGCACAGGCCCAGACAGGCGGCGGCGACGAGGCGGCGACGGCGACGACACAGCCACCAGACCGACGCACAGGCCCAGACGATGGGCGGCGACGAGGCGGCGACGGGGCGGCGACGGCGACACCATGGCCGCCAGGCTGGCGCACAGGCCCAGTACCTACGACATGAAAAAGAAGCCAAAAGTGCAAGTACTGTTTGGCTTGTGTATGTGTAAATGTAGATGGATGGACCGCCTCCTCCCCCAGCACCCACTGATCGTGTTCTGTTATGTTGGCGGTGTTCGTCTCTCCTCTTCGTCCCGATTCGTTGCCTCATTTCCTCCTTCTGTCCACCTCCTCCACCTCCTCCTCCTCCTCGTCCGATGGGGCAGATAGGCAAATAACCTACAGCGACAGATTGTGAGAGAGAGAGAGAATAGAGGGAGCAACGATCCTTGTGACATCAACTGGTTTGCGAAGGAAAGGGGGCGCCAAACCACATGCTTTCACTTGTCTGTTCTGGGCAAATGACATGGCTTCCCGGAGTCTCATATCAGAATCTCCCAACATCCACATGAAATCACAGGGCTTGGTTTGGCGCCACCTTTCTTTGCAGACCATGCGACTTCACAGGGATTGGTGCTCCCTCCAGTCTCTTTCTCTCTCTCTCTCTCTCTCTCTGTTTCCTCCTCTCTGCCCCTCTGCCTCACCGGAAGAGGGAGAGGGGGAGGTGGAGGAGGACCGACTCATCCCTCTCCAGTGAGGCAGAGAAAGGGAGAGGGACAAATAGAAAAAGAGAGGGAGAGAGAACGCGCGATACTAGAGGGAATAAAAGACCCTGATGAGATCACATGGCTTGCGAAATGAGCATGCGATAACCAATAGGATCTCACGGGGATGTGAGTTATTATTGGCATGGGAATCCCACATACCATGTGATGGCATTTTTGATTTTTTGACGTTTGGGATCTCTGGGGTTGAGGGACCTGGATGGCTGCAGCGTGAATCCCACCAGCCCTCTGGGCTTAGGTGGTATAACGCGGTTATTATTATCTCTTCCACTGAAGCCCCTCCCCCTACCCCCTCCCCTGGGCCAGGAAGGGGGGGTGGGGGTTACTCAGGCGTTAGAGCGTCCAATATTGCCCAAGATTGCTCCAAGAGGGCTTCGAAGTCGCAAGATGGCCTCCAAGATGGCCCATGCTACTCCAAGATGGGTCAAGATAGCCTCCGACATACCCCCAAGAGGCCCCAAGGCAGCCCCAAGACGGATCCAAGTGCCCTTCGAGCCCTCCACGGCGGCCTCCAAGATGTCAAAAGCCTAGGGAAAATCAATGTGTTTGGCATTATCGCCTTTTCGCTTCCGATGGGTTGTGGAAACCTTAAGATGGCCCCCAGATGGCCCAAAAGAGGCCCAAGAGGGGCCCAAGAATGCCGAAGACGGCCCCAAGTTCGCCCAAAAGGCGCCCAAGAGCGCTCCAAGAGGGCCCCAAGATGCCGTTTGAGAGCCTCCGAAGGGGGGGGGGGGGGGGGGGGCGAATTCCTCCCCCCTTTTTTTTGAACCATGGTGCCCAAGACGGCCCCAAGATGCCTCCCAGACCCCCCAAAGAGCCCCAAGAGGGCCCCAAGACTCCTCCAAAAGATCCTCAAGAGGGCCCCAAGAAGGCCTCAAGAGGACCTCCGGTAGGCCCCGACTGACCTCCAGATAGATAGCCTCCGACAGACCTCCAAAAGGCCTCAAGACAGCCTCAATATGGCCCAAGATAGCCGAGCATGGCTCAAGGTAGCCTCCAAAGAGGCCTCAAGAAAGCTGGCAATCAATTCTGGATGGGCTGGTGGGGGTACTTTTTTGGTCGGCGGCTCCGAAGCAACGGACAAGGAGCGGAAGCGGCGTCCGGGTCACGGTACGGGGCTAATTCGCAAAGAATGCGTGGTGGCTGGTGGGGGTACTTTTTTGACCTCCTGCGGCTCCAAGGACGATTCCAGAGAGCGGGTCGTATCGAGCATGGGAAGGCACGCAAGATAATTGCCAGCGGGCCAAAAGCAATCTGGTGGGGGTACGCGAAGCGTCAAGAATTTTCCCTTGAGGAAGTGAGGTCCCCAAACACACGAAAGTCCAAATACCTTCACATGGCTCCTGGGATCCCCATCCCGAATCCACATGAAATCTCCATGCGTGGCGCCCCCCTTACTTTGCCAACTATGTGATTTCACGGGGCAGAAAAGCTCTCTCGAATCTCTCTCGCTCTCTCTCTCTCTCTTTCTGTCTCTCTGCTCCGTTTCTTCGGAAGAAGAAACGGAGGAGGAGGAGCTGGAGGAGAAGCCTCTCGCCCCTTTCCGATGAGGCAGAGAGGCAGACAGAAAAAAGAAAGACCGAGACAGAGAGAGAGGGATACTAGAGGGAGCTGCGATCATGTGAACTGCCATGATTCGCAAAGTACGAGCGTGCCAACAACGAGGATGTCCTTCGGATGGTTTGGCTTTCTGGTATGCGTTTTCCAGGAAGCCAGTTGAAGTCACTTTTGACGTTGAAGATGTTTTGTGTTCAGAGCTCTGGAGGGCTGCAGCGTTGATTTTCGCTTGAGGGTGCGAAATCCCAGACATCCCCAAATCCAAATGAACCCGAAAGATTTCTGTGATTCTCTCACCAGGAATCCAACACATCCCTTTGACATCAGAGGGTGTGGCGCCCCCTTACTTCGCAAACTCTGTGATTACACAAGGACCGTTGCTCCCTCCAATCTCTCTCTCTCGCTCTCTCGGTCTCTCTGTCTCCCTGCCCTTTTGCCTCATCGGAAGAGGAAACGGGGGAGGAGGAGGAGGAGACGAACACAAATGATGGAGGAGGGGGGGGGGGGCAAGGGAACAACAGAAGGAGGGTCCGCACCAGAAAGAGACGTGAGAGACGTAACAGGCAGACGAGGATCAAAGGGGGAGGACATAGAAAAGGCGGGATGGGAGGAGGAGGAGCGAACGAACGGAGAGGAAAAGGAGAGACGATCGACAAAAGACAAGAAGACGATCAGCGGGTACTGGGGGGCTGCAACTATACAGTGTTATATATATATACAAATATGAATACAAGACCGTCTCTCTCTCTCTCTCTCATTCTCTTTCGCTCTCTCCCGCTCTCTCTCTCTCTCTCTCGTTCCCCTCCCCCTCCCAATGCATATGCCTGTGTGTGCGCCTCTCTGTCTGCTCGGCGCTCTGTGTGTCTCTCTCCCTCTCTCTCTTCCTAACTCTATCTGTCTCTCTGGTCTCCACACTTCCTTTACTATGTGTGCGTCATCTCTCTCTCTCTCCGTCTCTTTCTCTCTGTATGACCCCTCTCTCTCTTTGTTGTGTATGGTGTCTGTATGTGTTGCTGTTGCTTTGATGTTTTTTGTTTCCTCTCTCTCTCTCTCTTTCTCTCTCTCTTAGTGAATACAGGTAATCATATAATTACTACATGTGCTCTCTCACATGTCTATCATGTACTCTCTCTCTCTCTCTCTTCTCTCTCTCTCTCTATCTGCTCTGCTCTGCTCTTTACACGCGCGCTTTACTCTCTCTTTCTCTCGGACTCTCTTTCTCTCCCTCTCACTGTCTTACCCCAAATAAGATTTCACATGTACAGCTCTCTATGTCTCTCTCAATGTGCTTATATCTCTCTCTCGTGCTCTCTTAATCTCTCTCTCAATCTCTCTCCCTGCCACCATCCTGCTCCATGTCTGGATCCAGAAATGTACGTTTTCCTGTGAACATGTCTGTACTCGATATACATTCCTGTATGGGTCCTTCGATAAATCTGTGTACGTTCTGCCCGTGCCAACAACCAGATACTTGAACAAACCGAAAAGTCGAATCCAAGAACACACAATCCAATACCAAAAAACCTGGAAGCTCCGCCAACCACCGAAATCGGCCCGACACAATGGGCATCCTCCTTCAATCTCACGAACCAAGAAACCCGGGAACCCGGCCGCCTACCAACACCTCCCGAGTCCGCGAACCTAGATGCCTGCCGAGATCGGCAGGACATGTTCGCCTTCTCCTCCATTCTCCGCTGAGACGTCTGGGGGTTCGAACGGATTTCTGGTCGGGCCTGCGCTGGCAATCCCCCCCCCACTTCTCCGACGCGCGGAGTCAGCGCCCCTCAAACGGGGACTCCACTAACGGGTACTTTGGCCAGTGACCCAGCGAACCCAACCCCTCCCGATGTGGGCAACGCTGCAATGCCCGAAAAAGGCCCTAAAGTGGCAACTTTCGGCGAAATTTAAAAGTACCCGTTAGCAAGTACTCCAGATTTCGTAAGAAAAGGGAGGGGGTCTGGACCCTCCAAGACAAGCCACTTCAGGCCTCCCCCGCGGGAGACCCCTCCAAAGCATCGTCCCCAGACCCCCCCCCCCCCAGGCTCTCCAAGATAGCCTGGAAGAGACCCCCCCCGAAATGAGACCCCCCTCCCTTTATTACGAGATCTGGAGTACTTTAGTAGTGGAAAGAATTGGTTTTCAAAATGTTTGGTCTTTAGAAGCTCTGCGTGGCGACGCCCCCGTCGCCACGCGTGCCCTCTGCGTGCCTGCGGGGGCGCCGCCACGTAGAAGTACTGGAGACCGGGCATTTGGGGCGTCGCTACGCACGCCCTCTGCGTGGCTGCGACCATTTGTGAAAACCCTAAAACCAATTAAATTCACTAGTAAAGTACCCGTCACGGTGCCGTTGACGGAGCGCGCCAGGCCAGGGGCGGCGCCGGAAGCGCTGCCCAGGGTGCGAGGAGCGAGGCCCCGCGCCGCCCCGAGAGGAACTCGCGCGGGTGCCTCTCGACGGTGCAGAAAATGCCGGTGCCGCCCGCCTGCCCCGAGCGGCGCCCGCTCCCCGAGCACCTCCTCGTCGACGTCCAGCGTGGCGCCCGTGGACCCCTGCGGGGCGGGGTGCGGAGAGCGGTCGGGGGGTGGGCCTGCGAGTGCACGCCCCCCCTAGAGGGAAAAGAACTATGCACATGCACCGATTCTGGCCAGGCCCATCCTGAGCCCAGGATCGGTGCATACGCCCTCCTACCTTGGCCAGGAAGGCATATGCACCGATCCTGGGTCAAAAATTGGCCTTGCCAGGATCGGTGCATGTGCATAGTTCTCTTCGCCCGACAGTCGGGCGCCGCGGCACTGGGGTCTGGGACCGAGGGGGGGGGACAGCGCCGGGGAAATGACGAGAACTCTGCAGCAAGGTCGTGCTTACACGTGCGTCCTCGGGAGGTCCCAGATCACCCTGCTATGGCATACGGCGGGCTCGCGTGACGATGGCACCAGCGTTGGGTTGTTCTGACACGGCGTGGATCTATCGACCTTGAACGATCGCGGCTTTGTATAGCGCAGACCGTTCGACATCGGTCCGCGCTGGGATCCCCTGCTGCTGCTCCTCCTCCTCCTCCGATACCTCCTCATTGTAACGTTCCCTCCCCAGTCTCCCCGTACTTCCAATCCTCCGTCCTCCTGCTCCCTTCTCATCCGCTCCTGGACACCAGCAGCTCGAAACCATGGGCATCTCCTGCAGCACATTCTGACAGTAATGTTGAGGCGAACGAGAGACCCGCCAGGACGCCCCCTCCTGCCTCCCCCCTCAAGCCAGCGAGCCCGACCTTTACGTGCGATGCAGGCAGTGTCATCGGAAAGACCGCGTTGTCTCTGTCAGGTCCCACGTCTGCACCGGCCCAACACAACTGTGCATATCCCAGCTGCTGCGAGTAGGGAACGACAGTCTAGGGCGCGGAGCAGGAAGAGAAGTAGAGAGGAAATGAGGACAAGGAGGAGAGAAGAGAAGCGGGACGAGGAGGAGGCTCACGAACCGGAAATGGACGAGACAGGTGGGAGAAGGGGAAGGAAGAGAGGACGAGAGAGTAGTTTGGGCGGACAGTGGAGGCGGTGGACCACCGTCTCCACTCTCCCCCTCCCCCCTGAGCTCTTCGAAGAGGCGGGGGGCAAGGCCGAAACGAACATCTGCAAAAGATGGCATCACCGCCGATGATCGAGGTCCGAGGTTTTGGAGGTGTTATCTCTTTTTGGGGCCTCGGGAAGCCTCTGGAGGACTCCAGGAACTCCTGTAAATATGCAGAAACCTGCTGGGACCTCCAGAAACGTGCTGAGAGGACTTGCGGAAACATGTCCAAACATGAAAAACCCAACCAGGTATGGCTAGACACGAGATGAAGTGGAGGCGGCATTCGAGCCGAGCTTACACACCATAACGCTGCCAAGCTGGTCACAATTTCTTGACGATGCCGAACACGGCCCACGAATTCTGCAGGAGCTCAGGATGCGCTCCCGTCCAGATCCATCAAAGATGGGCCGTGGGCGACCGACATGAGGCCTCCAGAGGACCATAAATCGGCCCAGCATTCAAGGAAGGAGCACACACACAAGCACGCACATATACAGCACATACACATACAACTATACATGCACACATACTTGCTTACTTACGTCTTTGCACACATACATACATACATACATACATACATACATACATACATACATACATACATACATACATACATACATATATACATACATGCATGCATGCATGCATGCATCCATACATACATACATACCCATATACATGTATACATACATACATGCATGCATGCATTCATGCATTCATTCATTCATTCATACATACATACATACACACATGCTGACATGCATATATGCATGCATGCATACAAACATGCATACATACAACCACACACACACATATACATGCATCGATACATCCATACAGCCATACATGCATGCATGCATGCATGCATGCATGCATGCATGCATGTAGACATATAGACAAACAAACAGACAACTACACACATACATACACACATGCCTGCACATGTATGTAATTGAATAGAGATGTGTAAACCCGTATTCGCATACCATATATGTAGACATGTACATGTCTGCATCCAAACATATCCGGAAACCTATACATGCACAAACACAAACAAACATTCATACATGCGTCTGGATATACATATACGTATAATTACAAACCGTTGCCGTACGAATGCACAACGTCCCGAATGGGCCCTCTTCGGGATCTCTTGAGACCGTTTACAAACCGTGTTGGGGGCCTCCTCGGCTGTCTTGGGGCCTTCTGGCGCTGTCTTGGCACCTCTGGGCAATATTGGGGGCCTCCTGGGGCTGTTCTTGGGCGGCCTGGGGCCCTGTGGGCTGTCCGGGGCCCTCTTGGAGCGTCTTGGGGCCGTCATGGGCCCCTCTTCAGCCCTCCTGGGCTCGTTAAGGGGCCCTCTTGGGCGCCTGTTGGGTCATCTCGGAGCGATCACGGTGGCTTCTTCGGCCGCCTCGAGCGCTCTGGAGACCAAGCAGCCGAATGTGCGAACTTGGCACCGGAATCAAAGGACCACCTATAGCTTTTCCCTCCCAGTGGCCTCTTGAGAGTCGTTTTCGAGCCCCCTGGGCCATCAGGGGAGCCCGTTGGGCCGTCGAGTGGCTATCTTGGGCCTATCTTTGGCAATCTTGGCCGTCTTGGGGAGCTAGTCGGACCCTCCTGAGGCGCCCAGGGGTCCGCCGGAACCATTTTGGGGCCATCTGGGGCCGTCTTGGGCCCCCCTGGGGCGCTCGCGAACCAGCCTATCCAACCGCAACGGAAGTTGCGTCGGATCCGTTTTCTATGAATAGAGGAACAGATTGGATTAGCACAGCTGTATTTTCAACTCCTTTGTCAAATCCACCGCCTGGTTGCCGCTATCGCCGACACGTCGCCGCCTCGTCGCCGACCGTCGTCAGGGCTCGCTCATCGGATCCGCCGCCTTGCTGCTGCCATCGCCGCCGCCTCGTCGCCGCCCCTTGTCTGGGCTCGTCTGTCGGGCGGGTCCGCCGAGTTGATGCCGTCGTCGCCGCCCCGTCGCCGCCTCGTCGCCGCCTTTGGCCGCTGCACTGTTGCACCCCCTCAGTTGCAGTCCAATCGATTGCAACCAAATCGATGGCAATCCAATCGACCGCAATCGAATCGATCGACTGTAATCCAATCGATTACAATCCAAGCAGTTAAACGTATATTGTTTGTAATTCAATCGATGACATCAAACCGATCGATTGTACTTGCGTTGCTTCCACCACGTATCCCACAACGTATACATGAACAGTTTAGTTCTTACCCCATATACTGCCACATAACTAACACCACATGCTTCACACCACATAGGTGAGCGTTGGAGCTCCCCCCACGTAGTTTACACAACATACTGAACGCCGAGTAATTCATGCAGCATCGATGAGAACGGTCGTTCGTACCACACATGTGACACGATATAGATTGAAACACAATGTTCACGCCACACACATTCCATCCCTTTGAAAAAAAAACGGATCTACAACCAACCCGACGGGTCTTAGCCGTCTGGCCTTCTTGCATTGTACATAAGATTCTGCTCCACAGCCTCGTCGAAATACGAATTCGTACCATCCTAACCAGGCGAGATTCGATACTCTTTCCGTTGTAACATATGCGCGCGCACCCGTTTATCAAAATCATCAGATGGCGGTAACTCATTCGCAACATGTTGTGGCGAAATCCACGCGCGCACGTCGTCGAGCGCGCATGCCGATTGCCGGGATCCATGAAAAACGTTGTTGGCGTCGCACGGAAATCAAAAATTAGTCTCCCGAATTCGAGTGCAGCCGACCGGTTTGCAACACGCCTTTTCAAGCACAGCTGCTCTGGGCGCTGTCTAACGAATTCCCACGGGAAACGCAAATGGCTTCAGCATCTTTCGTCACATGCGACGAAACGGGCCCCTGGCGCACGCATGCCGACATCACTCGAAAGCCCTTGCGCGCGTGTTGGACGGGGGGACGGTTTTTGTCAAATCACACCACGCGGGCCACTCGCGCCCATCGGCCGCGCGCGCATGTCGAAACCTTTTTCAAACACATCCATCACCAACGCGTGAACACCATCATCGTCATCGGCGTTATCAGCATCGGCGCCGTCACTGGCCTTGCCGTCGTCACTGTCACCATCGCCACCAGCATTGCTAAAATCATCATCATCATCATCATCATCATCATCATCATCGTGTCTGCGGTTCTCGACGTCGCCATGATACCGCACCCGCCAGAGCCACCGACTCGCACTGAAGTGACCGCGCGTCGGCGCGCCCCGCCACACGCGCCATGAAGTGCCCAGCGGTCGGCACCACCGCGGCCGCGTGTGTCGCGCCAGACCAGCTGGCCGCTCTGCACGCGAGCTTGCGCGCAGTGGCGCGGACGCGCCGGATTGCCAGTCGGGGCTATGCAGTCATCGCAATCGCCGCCGCATAGGTTTCACAACCCAAGTGGTGGGCGGGCGGGTGGGATGATTGCGCGAACAGTAGAGTTGACAACTTCACGCTCGGCAAAGACAATTATCTTTCCTGACAAAATACAACGGCCGACCTCCACCCCCTGGAGCTAGAGGCGCGCCTTTGCGTATTGTAACTTACAGATGACTCTATCCCACTGTCTATCCTGAATTCGAATTCGCACCATCCTACGCAGGCCAACATCGCCCCCCTCATCTGTTGGACAACATACGATGCGCGTGCACTCTTTGGTCAAACATCGTCAGTGCATCAGTTTCAAGAAATGGAAGCCCTTTGCAACAGATGCGTCGCGCGACACGCACGAATCATTCAACAACCTGTTGATCTCGTAAAAATGTTCCAGAATCGAGCGCCACGAAGGTACGTAAAAGCACGAGCTTCGCAACAAAAACATTCAACACAAGCTTGCGCCCATGCTCTTGCATGTTTTCTGTTTTGTTGCATGTATGCTTCATCAGGTTCGCTTGTTCCACCATGTTCATAGCACGCTGAAATCGTTCTAACGACTCTTGCGCGCGTGCAGGTGCAAGAGCACCGTGCAAAACAACT